AAGTTCCACCATGCGGATGAGGATCACCCGTAAGAGGCCCACTAATTTTCAGCCGTTATGCGGTATCAATGCAAAGGCCATCATCACACTTACAGTTGTCTAAATATAAAAATTGTTATGCCAACACATCAAATATACATGCAAAAAGAATGTCACACGTATTTCACTGTTAGATGGAAGAATGGATCTCCTGCAATACACTACAGTAGTAAGTTGCGAAACTGTTTCGTTGTAATGTTCCCGATGGACTCGAAGATTAAGACTCATCACGGAGAGGTTCACATGTGAAGATGCATAACTGAGATCCAGATAGTCTCCACTTGTCATTTAACCAAATGGAAAACATCTTGTTTAGGGGTACACAAAGCATTTAGGTAGGTACTTAGGTAGTTGTACCCATCCAGGACATCACACAAGCGATAAACCTTGACCCGTAGGCAGGCCAAAAACAATTTCTGGAGGCAAAGTGTGCCACTCTGCGTGAATGTGATCATACAAGCCGAATTTAGATGAGGATCACCCGTTTAGAAAGAGGCGGGAGCCCGAGAAACCCCTTCCAGCCGTCATGGCCATATCGATGTCAAGGCCATATTTATGAGAAGAGGGAAAAGTCAGGACCCATGGCAAAAGCCATGGATGGGAGAGATAAAGGAAAAAAAAATGAGATCCCACCTGACAGTCGGCTTCATAAATGGAGGTATCCCCCCCCCCCCCCTCTTCCCCCTGCCGCACAAAGCATTAGCAACATGAATCAAAGAGTATTCACCGACATAAGAAATCAGGGCAGCACCTGTGCAATTGTAATTTATAAAAATATAAGGTTATGAGACGTCTGAGGTCACATGCAAAAATGTGTGTTCGATCCGCATACAGCAGTTTTTATATATATTCACCGATATATATATATATATATATATATATATATATATATATATATATATATATATATGTGTATATGTGTATGTATATATATGTGAGAGGTCACGAGTTTTGAAGCGCATTACAGTCGCTGTGACCTGTAGTCCAGTATGAAAAGATAGATCACAGGTTGCTGTAGATATTACTTTCCGTCAAAGTATTTCTTCTGATAGTTTAACAACAATGACCCAGAGAGCAGCCAGCCATTCGCCTGAGAATCCAGCAGGAGCAAATCCCATTAACCCCGTTACATGTGTAATACAGTTATATTATGTCATCTGACAGTTACCGAGTAATTATTAATCCGATCTGGGTAAATTAAACTGTTTAGATCTATATTTAGATTTATACTTTATACAATGTCTTCCTTAGGTAATTTGCTATTGTACCGTCCTCGATGCCAAGACTGGAGACATTATAACCAACTTCTTTTGTGAACAGTCAATAGAGGCAAACCCAGGGCGGCTGCTACATCGGAGGATTACTATTACTACTTCTTCTTCTTCTAGTTTCTGGAGAGGGCAGACTTACCGAATACGCTGCGTTCGAGAGACTTTGAGACTCCGGAGTCAAGAGGCGATGAACATTGTGTGTGTGTCGTTCAATACCCCACCAGAACCGTACAACGAGCGACTAACACTCTGTGACACAAAGTGCCACACTTCGGATGAGGATCACCCGGGGACAGGTTCCAGAAACTCCTGTTTAACACATATGTTGGTTTATATTAGGGCCCCCGGCAACAACCAGGGTGGGCTTCAAAATAACACAAAATGCATTCCTCATGGGGATGGAGAGTATAGATAGTAGTGAGACTGTTTGCGGGTAGGTAGGTAGCTGTACCCTACCAGGACATTACACAAACAATAAACCATCCGGTGACACAAAGGGCCACCTTGCGGATAAAGATCACCCCTGGAGAGGTCCTAGAAACCCCTTTGAGCCATTAGGCCATATCTATGGCTAAGCCATTTCTATCTTCTTCTTCTTCTTCTCTTCCACCTTGCACCTCAGTGAAGTGTCGGGGGGAAATGTAATGTTCGTTGATGAGCTCTGTCAAGAGCACTGTTAAGACTGATGTTCATTTCTGTAAGGCTGTTCTTAATGTCATCACTAAATCTTTTCCGAGGTCTTCCACTCGCTCTATACCCGTTGTAACATTTTAGAGTGGCTCGCTGTGGCAGATAGTACCAGGGCATTCTTGTTAGGTGTCAAAACCACTTAATTTGTTGTTCTTTGATCACCTGTAAGACTGGCTTTATTCCTAGCATTCGTCCGATTTCGTGATTTTGTATTCTGTCTTTCCTTGAAACTTCTGCAGCTCTTCTAAGGCATTTCATCTTTGTTGTCACAATTTTACCTTCATTGGAGGATGTAAGTGTCCACGTTTGGCATCGATAGCATAGTGTTGGCCATATATATGCCCCATCTATATTCAGGAATCCGACAGAAGCCAGGGTGGGGCTTCAAATAACAAAAAAATTGCATCCCACATAGGGACGAATTATGTTGGTTTCAGACTCATTGTTGTGTAGTGCGTCTGTTAAAAATTGTTATTAAACGAGGACAACCATGCAGAAATCGGTTGCGGAACAAAGAAAGAAAATATGCTTTTTACTGGGTTCAGTAAACATAAAGATAATGAGACGGCTGCTGCATCGGAGGACAGTGCACCAATGGGTGGGACCGATGTGTTTGGATGTCGATACCAATAACATGTAACAAGTAACAAGCATAATGCATTGACTGGTTGAGAAAACATATGTCAAGGGGAGAGTATTTGTGGACTTAGGTTGGAAAAGATAGTCATTATTATCACCCCTAATCCCGGAAGTACACAAGAATTTAGTGCTTGACTTAATCATCTACTGTACTGTAGTATTTACAACAACTCAGATATTCAGGTAATAATTAAATTATACGCTCATAGTTGATGCTTTCGGGACAGAATAATTAATTTCGTTTATAACAGTGAACACAAATTTAGGTCAATTTCGAGAGTAATGGTTGAAGTTAAACCTTCATAAAACTTACTTAGTGTAAATTTAAGTTGTTTCAAAGTTTGGGCTATCTTCCGAATAAGTTAATAACGGTCCCAAATTATCGAGGCCGAAAATATACCCCAATAGAGCCTCAGTCACATGTCAGTTGCGAACTTCCGCCACCGCCGAGGGTATCTTCAACGCGCGGCGTGTGTTTAGGCTAAACTAGATGGCTGGGACTCACGAGCAAATAAAATGAAGGAAGCTGCAAGAGATGCGGTAGTTGCTGCTTGTGAGTCCCAGCCATATAGTATATAGTTTAGCCCCAGTCCACTCCAGATACTCTCGGCGGTGGCGGTAGTCGCCGGAAGTCCACTATTGACATGTGACTGAGGCCCTGTTAGGGTATATTTTTGGCCTCTATAATTAGAAGGAGACAGTCATCATTTTTCGGCCATGTCATGAGAAGAGGGAAAATAGAACATGTTGTGACCACTGGAAAGATCTGTGTAAAAAGGGATAGAGGAAGACAACAAGAGAAGATGCTTGACAGTCTTGTTGCATGGCATGGAGGTGTGTCGGTACCCAAACTGATACATGCTGCAGGAGATCGCAGATTATGGAGAGGCATGATCGCCCACGCCAGTCGGCAAGGCACCTGATGATGATAATTTGGGACCATTATTCAGAAGATAGCCAAAATGTGTGTTCTTTGTATAAACAAAAATACTTTAAAACTGAAACTAATATTTTTCTTTTTTCTGATTATTTTGTTATAACCATAATTACATTTCTTCTTCAGGTCTTCCTCACTAGCTCAAGACCGCATGTTTTAGTTTACTGGTCTGATGTGGCCATTGCAAGTGTCGTAATCATAACTTCATTCTTGGCTTTCCATGTTGGTTTGGAGTGTTGGTCTGCTACCATTACTGAGCCTTTTTTTTTCCTTCTTTATGGTGTCAAACTTTCCTCATCTGTTTGTCTACTGTCCAGACTGAGAATCTCAGTGAGATCTTCTGATCTCAGAGTTTCATTGGTGGCAACATTTTCAGGTGACAAACCTGAAGGGGTAAACAGCAAGAAACATGCTGTTCTGGTCTAGGATCTTCCATACCTGTCGAGGACTGCAGTAACAACACTTTGTTTGCATTATAATCAATATAAATAAACCCACACACCTAATGCTTGCATATAGGGCAACATTAGGGAAAATAGCAGATACAAAAACAAACACTCATAATTTATTATTATTATTTTTTTTTTTTTTTAGATTACAGAGCCCTAATATAAATTCTTTAAAGGTTGAATGTGGTATCTGGGATTTGCTTTGTTGATTTCCTGTCAAAATTGAATCTTGCTTGAAGTCATAGGAGTAAGATCATCAGGTAAAGTGCAATCAGACAGCCATAGTTCTTTACTAACATTACTAAATAGAGAGGCGAGACAATATACAATCAGACAGTTACTGGTGCCATCGGATTTGGAACTCTTCGGTTGCTGCTGAAGATGGGGACGGAGTACTTATGGGAGTGTCCAGAGTGCTGTGATTCTTTATTTACAATAAATTACTCGTTCACCTGCCCAAGACATCAAGATGGTAATTGGTGTAGTCATTAGGGCTCCCTAATTAGAACTTACTATGCTGAATGGGGTAGCTTGGTCCTGTTGGACTAGGGTCACTTTGGTGTCACCAGTCATTAGGTATTGTAGTATTAGAATATTCAAAAAATAATTTTTGTTTAAGAAGAGACTTCCATATTTTTTTTAAACAGATCTTGAAAAAATATAGTAATGCAATGTTTAATTCATGACTCTATGTTCTCTGTAGTTGTAGATAAACATTTTTAATGCTGTGTGTTCAGTATTATTTGCCATATTTATTTACCACATTGTTTGTGACTACTGTCATTTTTACATTTCAAGTGTTCATGGCTAGTATATTTTTTTAACCTGTTTTTAAGTACTCAGCTCTCAACAGTTATTATAATTACTAGAAAGGCCACTGTCATTAATAACCTGTATTCACTGTTCATAAGGCCTTTTGATTAAAATCATGTTTTTAACTTGTTTTCAGTGTTCAGTTCACCACCTCTGCTGAGAATGTCTGATCAGGATAGTGTTCACAGTAACCTCACCTCTGTCTGGGGCATTATTAGAGGTCACATAGACACTATGGTAGACAGAGCGATTTCCTTATCACATATGCAAGTAGCAGAAAACAGAACAACTGTGGGAGGGTTCAAGCTTCGATTGAAGAACATTCTTGAGGATTCCTTGACTCATATACATCCAGGTTACCAGTCAGGTCTCAATTTTCATGCTGTGAGTATTTTCTTCTTCTTCTTTGCGTTATCAGCTGTAAACTCTGGCAGAAAGTTCTGTTTGGTCATCCACTTTTGGACTGTAGTCCTGTTCCAGAACCTGAGTGTTGCATATGCATCTGTTTTACAGATCTGACTCATTTGTATGCAGACTGCTGGTTCCTTGCCTCTCAGGCAGATGCACTCCTACTTCGAAGGAAGCTCCCGATTAGTTGACTCTTACAACATGCTTTTGGGTAGGCAGCGGGTCTGTTCTTGTTTACCCTATAATAGGGCCTTGGAACCCACACAGGGAGTAAGTATTTCAAAATAGGATGTGTATTAAGACAGTTGTATATCCTCCATAAAGTATCCTAAACCATTTCCAGCATTTATTGATTGGTTTTACAGTGCAAATTTATGTTTGCTAGTTTTGCTATTGCTTCCTAAACAATCAACATTTATTAAAAAGAAGAAAAAAACAGGTCACTACTGTCTGTATTTACCATTTTTTAGGGCGGTGTAGACAGATGGTCATGAGCCTGAGGTAAATAAATTAAATTAAATTAAGCTGTGTTTGATTAATCCCTCCAGGACTAAGAACGCCAAAACAATGGATGAAACGATTTTCTAATTAGTAGTGGCTGGTTTGATCACTAGAGCAAGATTTAATAGCAGTGAGTGAGAAATTGTTTTTAGCCCTCATGGTCAGAACTGCTAAAATGGAGGGAGACAGGTTTGAGAGCCTTATTACGAATGTCAGCAAGATGTTCACTGAAGCAATCTGCTAGTTTTCTTTTCCATTCCCTCGCTTGAGTGTTCTAGTCTCATTTTATGTTATATTTAGCATTTCTAGTAAACAGTGTTTTGTCTCATGAACTGAAATATCTTGGTAATATCAAACACCACAGTGGATTGAAAAGAATGGTAGCAGAAGACATGGTGCCAGGAAATGAGGGGTGTGGCTGAGCTGGACCAAGATGGGCCCAGAATATAGGAGGCATCTTGTGTAGGAAAGTTCATGAGGTGGGAGAACTGGTGAGAGACCGAGTTTCTTTTAGGCAGGCTGTGAAGAAAGCTACATTCTGCAAAAGACCTTCTTCATGGTGTTGATTGTGTATGTTATTGTTTGTGATGTGTCTGTATGTGTGTGCTTGTGTTTATATGTAAATACACATTTTTATTTTATTCCTTTCCTTTTCTGCAGATTCACGAGGAAATAAAAGGGGCTTTAGAGAAAGCAGTGGACACTGCCATGGGTGAAGTCACTGAGCACTCGAGTGACTCCTCAGCCAAAGAATCGTTTGTTGATGCTGTGGACAAGGAAATTGAACATGATGTTTACTATGCAGGCTATGGAAATACATCCCGTAAATATTCACTTCATTTTCTTTACTGAATATTAGCTAAATGTCTTCATTAACTCTTGTACTCCCAGCTAATACATGGTGTGTGATTGACTCCACCTCTTGAATCTCAACCATCATGTCCTATGTTCTCTGTTTTACATTTGAGTTAACATACACAAGAAGTGTACTTTCTCCAGACGTCACATCCTAGTCTCTTTGATTTTTTTTTTTTATCGTTAGAATAGAGAGTGAGAAGCAACAGTAAAATTCATAATCTTTTTAAATCACCATTAATTCCTCATGAGAACTGATACACAGCATTGGTTGAGGCCTTCAGAGAGAATGGCAGATACAGAGAAACAAAAAGTATGTACACAAAAGAGCTGAATTGGAATAGTCCATGAAGCAGACCAAGAAGATGGGGGAGTTAATACACAAGCAGAGTGATAGAAGATCATCTCACCATGACTTTACCACTGCTTCCTCCTGTAATTGAATTTCTTGATGGATTTTCCGCTATTTCCAAATTATATATATATATATAAAAAATTTTAAAAAAATATATATATATTGTAATGACTGCCCTTTTGTGTCTCCTCCACACTGGCTATCTGTGGTGCAGAGTTAACACTGGCTCTAATGTCTAGAGGTTCACAACTCAATCAAAGCAGACATGATCCTCTTCGTGGTCACACAACGTCTAACAACGGTTAACACCAGCGGCACATTTCACGAGTTTATTTACACGTTAGCTCAATACACAAATCACAGGTGAATCCACTTACATCATTCGGACAATAGACGTTGACATATTCACAGCTGGCTTTGACAATCAAACAGGGTACCATCACAGCTGGCCTTCTCGATCATTCATTCCTCGCCGATTCAGATCCACATGCTCTAGTCATTCTCCATTCATCTTCACAGCTTCATTTTCCATCCTTTCTCTCTGGGGCCCAGTCACCGAATGCCCGCCTGATTCTCAATCCCCCAGATCTCCTCATTCACAGGTGACACACTCTTTCCTGTCGTTTCACCATATCTCCTTGAAACCCATGCTCTCAGGGACTTCCCCAGTTATGCCAATCATCCCCTGACATTATCCCTATTTATAACATCATTACATATATATATATATATATATATATCTCTATATATATAAAAATCAATGTTTGTGTGTTTGTTTGGTCTCTATAGACTCGGAAACTACTGAACCGATTTAGCTGAAATTTTCAGGATATGTTTGTTGTGATACCGGATTTTGAACCGTCGTGGTTTGAAATTCAACCTGTCACTGTTAGAGATAGGTGACCACAATTTATGCCAAAATATATGCAAATAATATTTATAACTTTAGTGATTTCTAATTATAGCCACGTTAGTAATTGCGCATGCGCCGTATTTACCATTCGCCGGCGAGTTACGTGCAGCCAACGCCTTCTCTAATACTAATACATAGAGTAGGTCGTGGTACAGCAAACAAGACTATCTCTATATTTGCCACAATAACCATATTAAACACCATTTCTATTTTCTGTTTTTTTTTTTCAAACAACCTTCGATGGGGGGGGGGGGGGCAATCAAGGACTATCTCGACGTCGGCGCAGACATTGACTGCGTCATTAACTTCATTAGACAGGTGCGATTTCCATTGTCTTTCTTTTCTAAAAACCTTTGATGAGGGAGAGGGTACTAGGTGGATTTAGTTGTGGGGGGGGGGTGAGGGGGGGATCAAAGACTATCTCAAATTACGCCACAGCAATGCGTGGCCGGGTACAGCTAGTATATATATATATATATATATATATATATATATATATATATATATATATATATATATAAATTTTTATTTTTTTAAATTTTTTTTAATGCATGCTGAGTGTTGATGCCCTTGCGTATCAGGCAGATGTATTCACTTGAAAGGAAACATCCCTAATTGTAATAAGTTTGGATCTGCCTTGTTGGTCCACCATCCAGGACAAATATGCTTTTCTTTATCTCAGGGTGGTAATCCTTCAAGTGACAGCCAAAGGGGACAGACTTATTGTTTGAACTATATTCCTGATTATCCTTATCCGCATAGGACTACAGGTTATTCTGTGCTGGTGTACCCATAACGGCTGCCTTCATTATTTAAGAGGTTGAACAGAGTATCTGGGATCTTCCCTATTGGTTTGCCGGAATGATAATTTTTTTTTTTAAATCTCTGGGTAATAAACCTTCAGGTAGCATCCCAAAAGGGACAAACTGATTGATAAAATAGAACTGTATATTTGAGGGGCCAATAACATTAAACGTGTTTCTGTATGCGTACATTTGGATCCTCACCATTACCAACAAACTGAACATAAAATTATGTTGTCATTTCCAGAGAATGAATCAGGTTTCTTTGAAAGTTTGTCCATGAAGGATGAGACAGTTTTTGTTGCCCTCGTTTCTATGGGGGTGATCATACCCATCATCTTTTTTACTCTGATATTCATCTTCTTCTACAAAAAACACAGAGAAGCCAAGAAGAAAAGGTAACTGTTGCTTTCTTCAATATTTTTTTTAAAGATAAACTGAGTTTATATTGTGTTTGTGAATGAATTTTTCAATTATTGCCATTAACACACCTTTGAGATGATTGTAATTAAGCCATTGATTGCAGTTTCATTTTATTAATTCTGCAATATATTGTAGTAAATTTATAGTAAGATAAGGTAGCTCAGTGACAGATATTAGTTCTAGGATTATAGTAAAAGATAGCACCTCAGTAATAACTAACTTAAGGGAAGGTAGCTCAGTAATAACTGTATAGTAAGGGAAGGTGGCTTAGTAATAACTATATAGTAAGAGAAAGTAGCTCAGTAATAACTGTATAGTAAGGGAAGGTGGCTTAGTAATAACTATATAGTAAGAGAAGGTAGCTCAGTAATAACTGTATAGTAAGGGAAGGTGGCTTAGTAATAACTATATAGTAAGAGAAGATGGCTCAGTGCCCAAATCTAGAACCTGGGGGAGAAGTTTAACCTAGGACCCAGAGGAGAAGTTAAACCTAGGACCAAGGGAAGAAGTTGAACCTAGGACCCAAAATTGGAGCTGATGGTTGGCTGCCATAGTTGCCGAAAATAAATCATAATTTAACATATCATTGACACCCTATTAAAGTATATTGACAACATCAATGATTTGGGACGGTTTTTTTGGAGCAGTGCTTCCCGCTGTATGCGATATTTTCGCCGGAAAGAAGTCCGCAGTTTACAGATGATTGAGGCTCTGTAAGGGTATTTTCTTAGCCTCAATAATTTAGGACCGTTATTCGTTATTTTTGTATAGAAAGAGAATCACAGTCAGTGGCAAATGGTAGCTCAGAAATAACTTTATAATGAGAGAAGGTAGTTTAGTAGTAGCTTCATAGTAAGACAAGATATATCAATGATAACTTTATAATAAGAGAAGGTAGATTAGTAATGACGTCATAGTAAGAGAAGGTATATCATTGGTTATTTTATAGTAAAATAATGTGGCTCAGTGAGATGGTTGCACAATGGAAACTTTATAATGTCATATGCTGGCTCTTTGATAGATTTATTAATTTTAAAAATAGGTACCTTCATTATGTCTCCTCTACTGGATAAATTCACTGATTTACTTTTCACATCAATTACAATATAGGCTGTTAACTGACAGTTTGTTTTCTCATAACTTGCAGCCATGAAATGCTGCTGAGAGACCGTTCTGACCTGTGTGTGGACGAATACAATGGTGATGACAAATACCGTTTGGACGATGAAGTCCCAGACTTGGACTTGAAGCATCTGAGAATGTAAACTTGTCCTCACTATAGCTCTTGTTTTTATCCTAAGTTCTGAGGATATTTTTGTTGTTGAATAAAATTGTTATTATGCCTTATTATTTCTGCTGATTGCTTTCGACTTGCATTCGTTTTGGCATAGCTAAACTCTAACTTACATTGTCGCAACTCCATGTTTATACTAGTCTGTTTTGCAATCAGCTTACCTAAATAAAGTGGCTGCCATAGATTTCTTGAGGGAAGCAAAACAGTAATGACACACATGAAATGTTAACGTATCATGCTAGGTGTAACAGGGAAGTATCGACTTAGGAGCGATGATATCAGGAGGAGATATAGTACAGAACCAACATTGAACTTTATTGGTAGACAACAGATTAAAAGATTTGGTCTTGTAACAAGATTGGCAACAGAGAGAGCACCACAGAGAGTTGTGTTATACAGATAAATTGGTAACAGAACCAGAGGTTGTCCACCAGAATTATATTCTGTCAATATTCTTCTCTAACTGTTTTGTTGTTAACCCTTTTGAGATGGTGCCTTTTTGGAGTTTCGGTGCCAAGAAGACAGAGCCTTCAGGAGGGGATTCTCATAGTTTATACACAAAATAATTATAACGAATAAAGCAATTAACATATAAAAAAACTAAATATATTCTTGTAGGAAATTGAATAAACTAACAGAATATTTATGAATCAAATTAAAATCTCAACATTTATTCAAACTAACTATTATGATTTGCATAATTTTTGCAAGCAATTTTTTTTATTTGGGAACAAACATAACCTGAAAAATGTGGGTGAATTTTTGTACAGATGAAGCTTGAATAAGGCCTAACACCTGTATTTTGGGAAGAAAAGCCTTTCAGACACGTGGTTCTACTAATTTTCCTGCCTCCAGTTATGTTTCAGATGCTATGACGCAACAGTCCTTTTCGCCATTTTTGGGCACAGGTAACCCCAGAATCAAATTGATGTTAAATCACAGAACACGTCAAACTTTCTTGCAAGAAATTCGAGAAGCAGTCTTATTGGCTGGTATAATAACCTGCCAGCCAATATCAAAGCTTCTCTTATATAGGGCCGACCGATCGACCCAGCCGTCCTTTTGGCTACTTTGTGTTGGGCTGATATTTCGGCCGAGTCGTCTCGAAAGGATTAACATCACATCAACAAGGATAATTTCATGTGTCTGATTATTTTTCTGCTGTGCTTTTCCTCTGAGAGCTGAGTTTAACTAGATTTCCTGGTCACCTTCCCACACCCCATTCTCTCTAGGCCATGATTATCTATTCCACTTTCCACATTGCGATTTCCAGATTACAAAGCTGTGCATACACGATTGTAGTTTTAAAATAGCTTGTATGAGTCAGCAGCAGGTGATCTGGCCACAGAAGTATGTTTTAGGTTATGTAATGTGTTATGCTATATGATGTCTATCACTTCTGTTGAAGGTTTTGATCCAAGTGTAAGAAATAGGATATTCAATTCTTGGTCTCTTCAATGAGGTATTTTATTCTTGCACTCTTCTGTGTCTTTTTTCTTCTTCTTCTGCTTCACTTATTTTTCTACCACTTAGGGAGTCAGGGAATATGCAGCACTCTAGTTCTTGCACTTTTGGCCAGCTCATCCACTTGATAGTTTTGTGAAGTTTCTCTTGTATGGTATCAGTTTACTTTGCTTGCTTAAATGCCCCTATGGTGTTCATTTATGTTGCTGTATAAACTGGCTTGTTGAAAGTGTGCCTTTTTTTTTTTTTTTTACAAAATTAATGTCATTTTGATGGAGATTCTGTGCTGCTAATGTGTATATTTTAAACAGGAATTTATAATATTTGTATAAATTGGTTACTTCTCAATTTAAAATTTAAAAGTAGATTCCGTGCAGAAAAGAGGATTACTAACATACATTCCATCCTGATTTATTTATGCAAACATATCTACACAAATAAGTTATCTGTCTATATGTCCATCCTCTGTCTTTTATCACTGAGCTACCATCTGCCAGTGACGGTCATTTTGTTTCTATAAAAAATATCACTCAACAGCTTTCTCTGAGCTACCTTCCCCCACTATACAGTTATCACTGAGCCACCTTCTCTTAGAATAGTTATTACTGAGCTATTTTTCTCCGGCTATCCCCCAAATAACAGTCCTAAATTATCGAGGATGTACGAAAATATGCTGGAATGAAGTACATTTAAAGTGGTTTTTTCCTCAAAATTTTGAAGAAACACTATGTGTGCTTTGTAGGGTGTTTTGTGAAAAACAAACTGCTAATGGAAAGAATAAGTCAGACTACAAACAAGTCATAGACATGAGCTGTAAGAAAAGTGTCTGGGCAAAAGAAAATGAAATGTTAAATATTTTAACGCCTAGTTTTTCTTATCCTTCGCTACCTCGGGCAGCTGTCCCATGTTCTCCCTATCTTTTCAACTTTACTATCTAGCTGCCTTATCCATATGTTTTTTGGTCTTGATATTAATCTAATCATAAGAGATATTTGTACATTTGTTTTTTTAATTGCATCTGTTATCTGACTATTTGCTGTGTACAGTTGCACATTTATGTATGTATGTTTTTTGTTTAATAATCAGGATATTACACTGTACATTCTCTGTATACATTCCACATGAATTGTTTTTATTTGCTCAAATTTTTATTTATAATTTTACTTTTCTAAGTCTTTACATAAACTTATTCATAAGGTAAAGGGTACATTTAAGCATATGTTTTATAGTATAATGTGTGTGCGGGTGCACACACACACATTATTATTATTGTGTTGTTTTTCTCAATATTGAGAAATAATAAATAATACTGTACCAGCTATGGGGGAAACATCTGGAAAGGCTCCTAGTCCTACAGAATATATTTCTCAAAAAAGCAACTGATATTAAATGCATATTTAGTTCCTACATTTCACATTCAAAACTTGTTTACATCCTGATCCTTCTAAGACATTTTTTGCAGCTTTTTTTTATGAAATTAGGATATACACTGGCAACCTCGAAATTTGAATATAATCCATTCTGAGACTGCTTTCAAGTTTCAAATCTTGTGAGTTTCAAGCCACCTTTTCCCATTGGAAATAATGACAATAAATTAGTCTGTTCCAGGGTCCAGCAATCTCAAATTGTAAAATGTATTTTTCCTAAGTACAGAATATATACTGTAAATATTGTAGCACACAATGATCATATTTAAGTAAAAACATAAATGAATAGCAAAGATATAAAAACGTTGTATTTACTGTACAGTAGTGATACCTTGATCAAAATAGAGACAGCACTACACATCTGAGGAGGAAGGAGATTTTAGGGAGATTATTGTTTTGAAAGTGAGTCGCTTTCCATAACATCAGGAGTCATTCCTGGTGTTTCATAATGTAGTGTTTCACCACTTGAAGAGGTTTTGATAGCCTTTTTTTTTAAAATATTTGTTTTTTTTAATTGAACTGTACAAACAGTCGCTTTGGGTATATCAAACATCATAGCAAGTTCACATCCATGGATACCACTTTCATGCTTAGTGATAAGATCTTTTTTTTAATGTCAGTTGTCGCTCTAATAGCCTTTATTTTACTTCGTTTTTCAACCATACACTTTTACCTGCCATGACTAATTCACTAAATGTTTTTAGAACAAAATATAATGAACAAGTAAGAACAATTTAATAAAATTAAAAACCTATAATAATTAAGGTGTAAAAGATCTTTTCATGCCTTTAGGTGCATCGGGTATATAGAAAGAGTAACCATATTTTTTCAGACCATCAGCACTAGGTGGGTAATGTGGTCAGCATTACGCCGGCCGTCTCTTCTTCCACAGGACAGCCATCCTGGTACCCATTTTAGGCTGGGTCGACCTGCGACACCCCAAACCACGATAAAAATCCACACAGAATAATGAATATAGTATACTAATACTCAGTATGGTATACTTATAATGATTAAGGTATACATACTAATAATGAATATGGTATACTAGTAGTCAGCTGGGTATACTTATAATGAATAAAGTATATTAATAATGAATATGGAATAATAGTATTAAATATAGTTTACTAAAAAGTTGAAAGTTAAAGTAGAGAAGATCGGCTTCATTGCACTAGGTGTTATCCCAAAGCGAACTGTCTTTGCAAAACCACTAGCTGCCTGCCCAGAGCATCAAACAAAGTCCGTAACTCCAGCTATGATCCCTAGGAATCTGTGAAGCAAACCTATGATCTTCAGAACACGAGGCAAACGGCTTGACCACCTTTATGCGGAGACCCCTATATTGGTATCCTAGTGGTTATTATGGTATAAAAGTAAGTTGTGTATCCTTTACGGGGCGTTGCAGAACCAACTCCAGCATTTTTTTGGCTGTTGTGGTATTTCTAGGCAAATTTTACTTTCAGTAGTTTGCCATTGCCCCCTGAACGGTCAGCTCTCAGTACCACTGTTAAAACCATTGCAAGACAAACTGTCCACAACTGGGATCGAAGCTGGCACCCCAGCATTATGCAGCGTGTTCGCAACGCCTAAGCTGCAGATGCTGATATTATGTTATGCTTAAAATGATGTGCTTATAATTTGTATGTAAGTAAAGTAAAGGTAGCCTTACATGCCTGCCCATGGTGCATCAGGCACATAGCCAAGTCTCACATTTTTATAGACCAGTCGGCCCACAGTGGGTGGTAAAGTGAGCATCAATCTGGAATAGTTTATATGGTTTACTAATAATTTATATTATTATAATAGATAGTATTCTACACTGGTAATTATGACTTGTTTATAATGTTCATGAATTTTCATAAGCATATGTTTGTTTTTATCATTTTCCTGGATGAAGAGTGATATAAGAGAAAAAATTGCACTGTCAGAGAGATTATATTGCTACTGTCGTCCCTAGGTTGGATGCAGTTTTGGGTTATTTTAAAGCCCCAGCCTGGAGCCCTAAATATAGCCAGGCCTTAAATATGGTCTAACAGGGTTTCCGGGACCTTTTCATTGGTGATCCTTATCCGCATGGTGG